AACATGAGCCCGTGTCCGATAACGATGGACAGTTTCTTCAAGCTCCTCCAAACGATCCCGTACACGAATAGCACGCGCATTGGCGGCGTCCAACTCCTCGTGGGCCTCATAGGACCGCTTCTGTTCCTTTTCAACTTGCGCGCGAAGTTCCGAAAGTTCCTGTTTTTGCCTGACGGCCACCTCCCTATAAGCGTCTACCTCTGCAACTGCAAGGTGAAATCGTGTAAGCGCGTCCTGGGATTCACAAGAAGTTACAGGTCAGTCGAAAAGGAAAAGGAATAGGAGGAACGACATCTACCTCCAAAGGAGCCTGCGGCAACTCAGCTTCAATGGCCCTAAATTGAGACAGAACACGACCATACTCCAAACGGTCTGCAGCAACCTCTTGCAAGGCGCGACGACTTGCCTCCAGGTCCTTGTTACGGTCGTCCAAGGAAGTCGTAGTCTCGCGAAGGAGAGAGGTAAGTGTCGAAGTTTCAGTCCGGGAAGCCTCCAGGAGCTTGCGGAGGTCCGTTACTTCAGCCCGTAAAGCGTCGTTTTCAGCCTTCAAGGCAGCAGTAGCTCGAGCTCGAGGAAAAGGATGGGGAACATCGCGGGAACGCTGGGATACAGATATCAGACAAAAACTTCGGACCTGAAGAACAGTAACGTAGAGAACTCACTTGAGAAGGAGGAGGGGTGCTTATGGTCACCTGCGGACCGACGCTCTGACACCACCGGTGGAATGAAGCGGCTAGACGAACCTGGCGAATTGGACCGTTTACGGCCCAAGAGATCTGAAGGTTGCGCCTGAGACGGTGGAAGGGGAACTCGTGCGCGCCCTGATTCCTCAGAAGGAGGAGGAGCATGCACCACCCCGTCAACACGATCACCAGTCACAGGGACCGAACCAGAAGAATCGACAAGGGGGGGACGAAGAACCAGCACCACCCTACGGTAATCGGGTACCTCAGCATCCCGACTCTTCCCAACAGGACGTTTACGCTTGCGGTCGTGGACCTCGGGAGCTACCTCAGGCTCCGAAACTTCTCTAACAGGACGCTTACGTAGAGAGGAAGAACCTCCCTCCTCCTGCCGGTTGGACCTTTTCCTCTTTTTCGCCAAAGCGCGTGGAGTCGCCACAACAGAAGGAAGTGGGGAAGGCAAGGAAGTAGTGGTTGAAGGCCGGGGAGCTGAGGCTGCTTTCGAAGGAACTCCCCAAGCTCCAAACGATCCAGTTCTTGCTGATCTTGTTCGTCCAGCGAATTCAGCTCGATCAAGGCGACAGTAGAGTTCGTACTGGCCTCGATCTTCGCTGCGATATTCCTCCACTGCTCAGAGGGAGAGTGAAACGGGTTCGTTGACCCGGGTCCCCATGCACCTCCAGAAACCTTCGAGCAAAAGCTAAGTCGCGGGAACACTTACGTGAGAAGTAACGAAAGCGAGCAAGTCGACCTAGGACGCAGGGCTTCTTGTCGTCGCAGTTACTACAACGAGCAAGGTGGGGGACGACCGAACAGTTTGCCTCCTTCTTGCCTCTAATACAAAAGGAGCAAGGGAGCCCAGCAGCAGGCGAGCAACGGCCAAAGGGGATCGTCGACGATATATCTCGCCAACGATACACCCACGCCGAAAACAGAACGAAAAAGAGTCAACTGTCCTAGAGGAGGCTCCTCAAGTGTATTAGCCAGCTCATCGATAGCGGCATCTTCAGTCGGTTCAGTGGAATTAGGATGGGATGGGGAAGATACCGGTGGTGGCACGGGATTGGGAGCTCCGGTAGCGGCACTGGAAGAGGGGAGGCTCATAGTAGATCGAGTTTGACTCGGACAACGATGAAAAGATGCTGAAAAAACAACGGGAAACGAACTTATAAACGAAAAAAGTCGAGTCACGTGGAAAGCACCTGACGACAACAGCAACCTCCTCGGAGGCTCGGAGGAGTAGAGGGGGGGGTAATGTCATGCCTCGCCCCAAATTCCATAGCCCATAAGCTCCTTGACGTAGTTCCCAACCTCCTCAACCCCCCTTACCTCCTCAACCACTTCCCTGAACCCCTGAGAACACTCCCAACGCCGCAAACCTCCTCACGGCTAGGACAACCTCCACTAATCTTAGTTCCCCTCAATGCAACCGAACCACTCCACGACAGGGTCCTGGAACCCCGCACATGCGCCCATCATTCCGTCCTGATGTACTTAGAAACCCCATTAAGTGCCCGTTTCGTACTATGTCTCTTTGTTAACTTCCCTATACGTATTTAAGCAGTCCAGTAGCGTCCAGAAGCCCAGCTTGGTATATTTTGAACACACACCCTTTACATAGGTCCAGTCCCTGTCCCTTTGTACCTGCTACCTATACGGAATTCTCTTTACTCTCTGTTTCATTACCTCTATTTCTCTTCACTCTCATCTATCGTCTCTCTGATCGTCTATACGATTGAATATACGCTTTTACCTCAAGTCTAAGCCTTCCGAGTGAGTCCCCGAACTCCCTCGAATATTACTAAAGCTTCCCAACGCCTACACGCTTTGGTGAGCTATCCTTCTCCAAACCTCCCAGAGCTCCCTAGCTACTTCGTAAGCTTCGGGACCTCGATCTAGATAACGTCGAAGCTACCTCTCACGTCGAACTACGTACTGCTTCTCCGTTACCACCTCCCACACTCGAGAACGCCCCTCCTCGCGCCCAGCCCCCAGGGACCTACCCTCACGGGTACCTCCCTTCTCTAGAGCTTACACCCTCGAGACCCCTTCCCATATACAACCTATTCGACTCTACTTTGACGTTCTAGCGAGTACAACTCCTACTACGCAATATCGTACGGTTCCGCACTCTTCCTTGACCTCCCTACGCCTTAGGGACCTCTCGAGACCTCTTAGGAACCCCCTCAAGGGTCATCATCTTGTCATCCCAACCACTACTTGGTCATTCCCGTCCTCGGTCGCGGTTCCCGTAGCTCCCTTCGAGCTCCAGCCTGCTCCTAGCACGCTACAACATAAACATCCCTATACCAAAACCTATCCCAAGACCTATTTTGACCCAGGTCTTACATGTCCATTGTTCTGGGACAAGATATCACAGCCTTTTGCAGAGTCTTCTCCATGGAATTTTGAATGCCAGTGATTAGATCATTCAGGTATGCAGTAGTGATATCCTCAAACTCTGGAATGTTCCAAGTGAATGGTTTTGGCAGGTTGTCAAGTACTCTGCATGCCTCCAAAATTATTGATGTGTGTCCATTTTGAGCCAAAGAGTAAGCTTCTCTGAATGCTTTCCATGCGAGATGATGATGTGGTAAATTGACCAGGTACTGCATGTTCTTGAAGAAAAGAATGATTCTTCGATAGCGGATTGGCATTAGTGATGTGCCGGCTCCGGCTCTGAGCCCTTGGGCCCTATGAGCCTGGCCGGATTGAGCCTGGCCGGGCCGGAGCCGTCTCTAGGGCTGTGGAAAGCTGAGGGCCCGGCTCAGAATTTTCAAAGGCCCCAAGCCGGGTTCTGAGCCGGGGCTGAGTAGCCGAATTTTGTGCCAAAATTCCCACCTGGGAATTGGCAATGGCTGATATGCATGAAGCTAAATGCTCAATATTTACCTATATGGACATCACTAGCACCATTTTCGGCTGCAAGGATAACTATTGGTTCATGCCATAATCACCTAAAATTGTTCAAGCATTACAATTCGGATACTTTTGCCATTGTAGATGGGTTGGAGCTTGAATCAAATCATCATATTCACAGTGAATCTCTCTTGATGAGGACTGGGAAGGTATCATGTTGTAGATTTTACTATAACATGGCAGCACCTTCTAATTTGAATGTTAGTCTACAAGCCTCAAGGAAGGAACCACTTTGATCTGATTTGGAATTGACAGTAGTTGAAACAACAGGTAATGATTTTGGTGCTTGCTACTCTGATAAGTCTAGTGTACTGGAATTCTACCATTTGATTGCTGTACACTATTATTCTTAATGTTACACCCCTCTCACAAAGTTAGAGCATTAAGAAACAATGGTGTACTCTGGCAATGATTGTGATACAATTTTCAGACCATTGTGGCAGTATTTTCAGACTCACATATTACATTGGATTTTGTATGATCCAATGGTGAATACTTGAACAGATCAAAAAAATTTTGAATCTCACAGTTTGCACCTACCACAGCCGGGGCCCAAGCTTGAGCCGGAACCCAGCCGGGCCCTGGCTTTCATGTAGGGCCCGGCTCAAGATTTTCATGAGCTTTGGCCGGGGCTATTTGAGCCTTAGCCGGGGCTTTTGAGCCGGGCCCCAGCCGGCACATCACTAATTGGCATCACTCCCGTTTCGGTGAACAGAATCTGGGTTGATGATCGTTTTTGTAAAGAGAGAACCCTCCGTAAGAAATAATGTTGTACTTCCTCTAATTGGTCTCTATGAGATGCAACCACATCCATACTGAACTCGGCACCACTTTTCAAATATGGGTCAATTCTAGCCCAGTACATAGTAATCATATCCTTTATTGGCATGTCACTGCCTACAAAAGCCTTAGCATGAAGGACTGCACCTGCAGCATTCTTAGCCTTATCTGCGAGTACCTGATAGTTGTCTTTGTATATGCTTCCTCGACCAGTCTGATGTTTCACTCTGATGCGAGTTTGGTGCTCTAAATTTTTGAGTCCTGACCGCGTATGAGACCGGCCAACCGAACAACATAGATGAACTGAGCGTACACGAAATAGCGGCGCTGTGGGTAGACCATTAGTTGTAGGACGGACATTCGAAACAAGTGACCCGTGAATGTCTGAACATTGACCGTACTTCTCTTCAAAAATTAGACTCAAATCTTCTCGTGCAAATTCCTCCAACATTCCCTTCACCCGGATTGTGATGTCCTCCACATACCTACTTAGTAGCCCAAGACACGAGGGCCTGGAACCTCAGGCTCGAGCACAGAAATCTATTTAATAATCAAAGCTTATGCTTGTGGCACTCATGTTTATAACTCTTTCGCTAACAATTTAAGCCGCAGCAGATCGAACATATATACACAAGAGAGCGATAGTAAAATAATTTTTATAAACGGGGAGTACATATCTGCCGTATGAATAGCATTTTTACGATCCCTTGGGTAGTGCGGAACTTCGCTTTAAAATTCAAACTTGTGCGAATTCTCTTCCGCGAGTTCCTCTAACATTGCCTTCACCCGAGTGGTGATTTCCTCCCAATCTGAGCTGTCCTCACGTTCTTTCTCGTGAATCGAGGCGAGCGTGATATCAACCCTGTCCCCAGCCCATTTACCTTCTATAATGCCGTATAGAAGGCTATCACTACCTTCCATGGAAATTGTTGGGTCTTGGGAACAACCGATAAGGCAGTAGAGTATCTGTGGGAGGTTGCGCGAGTTGGACTTGATGACATACTGCCGTTTGGTGAAGTTCCGAACCATCCAGCGATCGCCCTCCGTTCTCGCGAGTAGAAAGTCATCCAAATCAAGATGAATCCAGCGGGAAAACACCTCGCGATAAGAATACTGTCTGAGTTCGTTGCGAAGGGCACGGTTGGACTGGACTCTTTCCTCGTTGAGTAGGGAAATATTTGATTTCGGCTTCGGGAACTTGTAGTATTCAAAAAGACCTGTCCCTAGCTCATCGTCATCGTCGTACTCTGTCAACCGAAGCTGTTTCATGTCTTCAACGGTGAGAACTCCCTCAGGCAAAGTCCTGGCGTAGTCTCCTAGAAGAATAATACGGCCACCAGCCCAAGTGCGTGTCTTCAGTTTAGCGTGGAGGGAGCGGAATCGGATTTTTTCAGTGACCTCCCATATGGTCGTGCAAGTTAAAGAAAGGCAGATGAGGTCGAGGTAATCCTCCACAAGATCTTCCGCGATGGTGAGCAACAGCTCAGTTGGAAGGGTTAACAGGATTGTTCGAGAGTTGTTTCTAGTGGATGTGAATATGCGTATTGTGAGTACATCAGATTTGATGGGTTCATATCCTAGCTCACTTGGTTTTCTGAGATTTCTCTTTGGGGGGCATGAGGCTCGACTTGTACGAGCAGGGAATATTAGGGGCCATGAGGTAAGTAACGAAATTGTTAAAATACCAAAAGAATTCTCCAAGATTTCCTATGATCCCAGTAGATTCTCTGTTGTCGATATTGATTATTTTCCAATACTGTCCCATAATGAGTGACAATTGATATTTGAGAGTCGAAGATACAGAATTGAAAACACAAAAGAATCCCGTTATAGGTAGTCAAAGTAGTGTCACACCCATGTGATTTGGTCACACATGTAGAGCGACCTGAGCAACCGCACGTTTATCTCAACCGTCAAGAGGGCAGAGCCTCGCTGCTGTTGCTCACCATGAGCAGGAGAGAGTCTCGTGTGTCAATCAGTGCAAGGCAGAATGATGCCCTATTCGAGTTTGAAAACTGTATGTTCTCATTCAAACTTCATTTCGACCCAATCTGACCCGCGGTGGCATTTCGCAGTCAAGAAGAAATTTCTGCTAGCCAATAAACATATCACGAAGTTGGTGATTTGTCTTCGTAGATTATCATGCTTCTTACTGATACTTTTGTAGGCTCAACTCGACCCTCAGTGTCCGAATCGAAGAGCTAAATGCCCAGATATCCACACTCTACACCGAAAATCTTCGACTTCGAGCCTCAGAAATCAACCTGGCAGCCCAGCTGAAACGCGAGCGCGAAAAATCTCGGAAAATCATTGCAGAGACTGAAGCCGCAGTGCGTCGTTATGATTCTCTGAAGATCATTTATTCTGAATCTTATCTCTCAGGCGCTCGGACTTACCAAACATCTGAGCTTTCTCCGTCAAGCCTTTTGTATAACCGAAGAAGCCTCTTCATCTTCGTCCTCGCCTACTCCGCCTAGAGCCACACAGCGGCCGCTCCCATCCGCAGACTCGCCTAATTCACTTCTGTATCCACGATTATCGCGAGCTCCTACAATTCCCCTGATATACGAAGACGACGAACCTTCGGATCCTACGGAGGATGAAGACGAGGCCAAAGAGAAGACTCCTAGCCCGAGGCGTAGAATGAAAGTCAAACGGCTTTCTGCCTCCCGATTACCACTGCTTTCCCGAGTGTCATCTCCTCCACCTATCACTGTACCAATTGACCGTTCTACTAATTCTGCTTCAAATTCCACTAGGCGGAAACCTATTCGTCGTCAGAGTGGTCTCTTGGTGCGACAGGGGAGTCCAGTAGCAGGATCGCATGAGGCTGCGGAAGATGATGAGTTGGCTGCCGTGTTGGACGAAGCGGAGGAAGAGGTCCCCGTTGTCAAGAAGGAAAAGCGCAAGATCATCAGGGAAAAGGGAAAAGAGAAGGAGAAAGATCATGAAACCTCTTTACGCAAGAAGCTCCGCGACGAAATGGGCAACGAAGGGAAAAAGTTTAAGCTGGCGGACGTCACCAACTCCCCAAGAAGTCAACCCTCCCAATCAGTGGATGCTGGTACGTCGATATGTTCGCTTGTTTTCTTTCCTCTGACTCATGTAATTCAGTACTATCTGAAGTTGAATTGGATGTCGCGCGAACATCCAATAATAGACGAGAATTTTTATCGTCTTCACCTCCAAGGTCATCATCTGGTTCCCATTTTAGTTCCAACAACTATCTACCTATACCACAACAATCATCTAGCCCTCCACAGATACCAGCTACGCATGATAATCAAGATTTGGACTCAGAGCTCGCACAGATTGGCGGCAGGGAGCGACGTGTGCGAAAAAGTGTGAACTATGCTGAACCTAAGTTGAATACGTAAGCTATACTTTTAGAACTTGTTCACGAACATGTCTGATTTTTGTCGATAGCAAAATGCGAAAGCCCGACTCCGAACCAGGTGGAAGCTCATTACGGAAACGCAAATCAGCCTCTGCAGTAATGTCCAGCCGTTCAGAGGAGTGTGTTCCTGGTCATGAGGTAGATGCGGACGGTGACTACGAGGATCCTGACGGTGGAGCTCGGTCGTCATTGGAAGGTCCCGAATGCCAACCCTCCCGAGCGAGGAGCCGTGCGACAGATCCAGCTCAGTTAATTTTACCCGCTTCCAGACCCGGGTCCTCGGCCGACGTGGCATCTCAACCCCTTGCATCAGCGACATCTAGTACATCCATACCGTCAAGGCGAGCCAAGTCTCGCTCATACCTGTACACTGCCGAAGATGTGCCCAGTCCTGAATCGGATGACGCTGACACGGAATATATTCCTTCGAGCGGTGTAGCAAGAGGTGGCCCATCTTGGGTAAATACGTCGGAAAGGAAGAAAGCTGGGAAGCGGGTATCTGTTGAGGATGACGCGGCGAGGAGACATAGCTTAGCCGTCTAAGGAATTGTTCGGCTTGATGCCCCATCTCTCCTATCATCGGCTAGTGATTCATTGTCAATAGGATTGCTTGGAAAGTGGTCTGAGTATCTTGGGATGTCTCAATGAAATTCACGATCTGGTACGGGCACGGAAACGGGAAATGAATATAGTCAATTGTTTGTAGCACTGCGTTATTGTTTATATATATAAGTACTTCGTCTTGAATTTGCTGGTTCATCACTGTCCGCTACTTTGAGTCGATGCAAAAAAGAGGTTTTCGGAAGATGTATATGTAGTTTTAGAAAATAATGTCCAATGTATACATACTAGGTGGTATTATTATGTGGTGGTTAGTTTGTAAACAACCCACCCAGTAAATTGTCAAAAACCCCAACATACGTTCTTCTTCCACTCATCAAATCTACCTCCATGAAACGCCTGCCACATATCGCCAGTACCCATATCAAAATCCACCAAAATGACAGCGTCCCGAGGACAACCACGGAAGACATCATACAAAGGGAACCGACTTCCGAGAATTTGACTAACATCGCCTTATTTTCTGACCACTGGTCGATATACCAATCTTGAGGAAGGAGCGCAATGGTAGTAATAAATGAAATAAATACGACGATTGGAGCGGAAAAGCGAAAGACGCTTGCTCGAGTGAATCCAGGATCTGCGAAAAGGCGAGCTGTTATTTTCTGGATAGATTGACAGGATGATAAGAGGGTCTGAAGGAGAGTAGGTTCTGAATAGGTAGGGAGATCGCTGATGTACTGAGGTAGAGTTTCTGGTTCGGTGTGGGTGACAACCGATATTGCACGAGAAGACGGCCAGCGAAAAGATTGAAGCGCAGGTTTGTTGCGTTGGGTAGTTGGCATAGCAGTAGCGTATACGCAGTCGGCACTGATTGGTGGTGCGGGTAGATGGACGATGACTGCTTAGATTCTGGTGCGGGAATTTGCCGGCCTGAAAATCCACGTGCTTCGTACGTTGTCCCGTACGTCTCTGAGACGAATATCTTCGAGAGTTGACACTGCACGACCGGCTTAGCCAAATCGGCAATCCCTTTTGCAATGCGGGAAAAAGGCAAACGTTTTCTGGATCTTAACGTGCGTTGATGGGCACTGCGTTTCGTACTTACCAATTGACATTTTTTTCTATCAGGATACCCTGAAACTTGCAACATCAATTACAGAAACACGAGAGCGAAAGGTACAGAGCACCATTGGAGGACGCTCACAGCACACCGAGGATGAGGTACACTTTTTTTTGCACTGCACTCTCAATTTCAATGGTAATCGGATCCAGATACAAGCTCCTTTGAAAACACGGAAAGCTCGAAATAGAGCGAAACTGGTATGCGATAATGAGTCTTAACCAGGATCCTATCCTGTTTGAACAACATAACAGGCCGGGATCAAGATGCAAATCGCCTCCGACAGAGCTCGCCTCAAGAAGAACAAAGCCAAAATGCGAAAGCAAGTTCTCCTTGGTCTTACTATCGTCCCTGAAAAACGCGACAGTCTTCCACCAAAAAAGCGTGTCTCTTTTGCTTGAACGACAGACTCAAAAAAGGTATTCATGATAGACACCGGTACAGCGATGTTTTCCCCTCTCCAACTCATAGGCCCTAATTCAACTCTCAAAAGGTCTTGTTGGGCAATGAAGTGACGCGTCTCAGTTCAACTATTCCGAATGCGGATTGACTTTGAAAGAGGCTAGAATTTGCTTGTACCACATACTTAAATGATGTCCGGAGCCTCGATATTGACATTTGTTCATCCTTATGGGTCCGACTAATTGACATCACTGGCGGGTCAATATTCAATGGAAGTTGATTCAAATTATTCTTTTTTAATCATTCGACTTCACCCAGCATCCGTATAACAATAGGCTATGATCTGGGTCGACCGCGGTTGTCTCAGCCCCCCAAAGCATCAAGACACGATTACTCTTCCCGGTACACGGTTTATGTCACAGCCAATTCTTCAAGAGCAAGTCTTGTTTTGCTATGTGTACAAGTCCACAGGTTCAAGCCGCTCGAGTATGTTTTCGGTATATCCAGCTCTCCGAGGTGAATTTCTGACACAAATACGTTGCATACAGTATCTGATCGTCCGTCCATTCATTGACTATTTTGTCGTTGCGAATAGACCTCAAGTTACACTGCTAATTCGGCATTGGAGCCCTTTCCTGCGTTCGTATCGTTGACTTTACTCGACATAACAACTTGAACTTTCCAATGTTTCCTTGCACAAAATATACGTATCCCGTCCAAACATGTCTGCTCAGCGGGTACAATTGAGTAATTTTTAAATATCATGGCTTATGTAGGTTTTTGTTCGCATTTCTTTCGAACGCGTGTTTGTAAGATTCTGTTATATCGGTCGACATAATTATTCATAGCCTTTTTCGAGGAGAAGATATATATATACTGGATAGGATAGAGGAAGAGCATCTCGACATCTATCGCTACCTCGCTTTTCTGTATCACTACCCTCAACACAAGCTCTTAACTTCGTCGTTCCAAGAAACCGATAATGTGCCGCCGTAGACAGTGAGCATTCATATCACAGCTGATATGTCCTTGTACTTATATCATTGTCACCTTGTCTTCTCAGTGTTCGTAACTTATATCTCAAGTGTGGACATGCTGTTAATCTTGTGAGTATTCCATTGGTGCTCAGGATATCAAGGGAGTTTGACTGACGAACCGCCCACCGACTAGCCCGAGCAAGAAGTCCGTTAAAAAAAACCCTTTTGCTTTCATTTCGCTCAAACATACACTGTTGTTATAGATCTCATGTGAAAACGAGCACTGTAAATTCAGTCCGTTCCACCCCAAGAATTGTCCCAATTGCACCAGAACTTGCTGGCAATAGTACGTGGCTTTCTCGTCTTTCAATCTATATCGCTCACTTTTATCATATTTTTTTCCTCGTCGCATTGTTCTCCGCTCATCCAGCCATCAGTATCCGGAGCAGTACAGTAAACGTCGACGTAGACTTGTCGTAATTCTTTTGCTGAAAATTTGGCCTTTTTCATAGCTCCTCAAATCAACTCATTTTGTCCCGCCTGTCAGGCTGCGGGATCCCGTTAAACGGAAGAATGGGGGCTACTTCCCCCACTATTTGCAACGCCAGCTTTACCGTACATAGTTATCATATTATCCTTTTTCTTTAGATTTTTCGGTCTGTTCGAACGACTGATAGAATATAGACATAGTAGACATAATTATAGCTTGAATTCGCGGGGATCTAGTAGGTACGATGACTGTTCTGCACTACGATCATTATTTGACTCCTTAGCAATGCATCGCGATTACTCACTTCCGTATGATGTTTGTTGATTGAATCTGCCCATGTTTTCGTAAACAGGCTAGTACACCGAAACAAGCATGAAAAAGGTCGCTTGAGAGGCGAGTACCATGATGCGCTCGCGCAAAGAGCTATACATCACAAGAGGAAAGGAAATGATAACCGGCACGGTTCCATTGAGGAACTAACCGGGGCCCAGTGAAATCATTTGTCTTACGCGAGACATGCCAGAACTTGAAGTTGAGACCAAGGTTCTCATGTGGGCTTGAAGCTCAAGAGTTCATTCACTACTCAAGATACAGAGAATAAAGCAGACAGCTGCTTGCAGAGGGTCAACCTTTCAAACCATTGCTTCACAATGCTTGATAGAATACTTCTTAAATATCAAGCCTGGCCGGTGCGCTCAGTACTAGGCTAGAGCCTGAGCAACTAAATGGAATGTTACAAAAAAACAAAAGCAGCTGCCGCATATGTGAGTATATCAGCATTAATAAGCCCTAGGCCTGTACTTACAAGTCTGTACGTTTAATTTGTTTTTCGCAAAGGCCAAATTCTGTTCAATTTCCCTAAATGGGTTGAAGTGGAGCTCGAGAGAATTGGCATTGATCCGTGAGAAGAGCAAGATCACATGGCAGCTTCTTCTCTCATTCAGTGACGCCCATGTCAACCTCTTATGAAAGAGAGCCTTTGTTGCCTCGGACTGACACAGTCAGCAGTAAGGCGCGTCTTGGGCCACATGAAATATCAAGATCCACGAGATATGGTATCCTAGCTGGAATCTGGATGGCTACTTTTCTTTCTGTACGCGAGCTAACATTCATCTGTCCTTAACTTCCTCTGATGAAAATTCAGTCTGTAAACAGTGAGCAAACCCATTCCGTTTGCTCTTTGCGAATGCTCATATAGAAATTAGTGTCTCTTGTTCCTACAAGTGTGTAACCGTCATTTCTTAAGACATCATTGACAATCGTGATTCTAGTGTTACCCTCCATATCCTCCGAGTTCCAGAAATCGCATCAAGCAAGCTGGCTGGGGACAGCGTGCGCTTTCTACTATCATTCAAGGTTCCTATACTTAGCAAGCTTTTAGATACCTTCTCGCAACTTCCACTTTTACCCCTCTATACGGTCGGCTGGCAAATGTATTAGGAAGGCGGGGAGCAGCTCAAGTCGCAGTCCTCTTTACCGGACTGGGCACCGTTGCCTGCGGCCTCTCAACCAACATGGAAATGCTAATAGCATCGCGTTTTGTGGGCTTTCTGTTCCCTTACACCGTGGGTCGATGGTTCGTTTATTCGATTCGATTCCTCTTCTTTTAGCTTGCCGGCATCGGCGGTGGTGGTATTAATACCATAGCCACGTAAGTCGATGAATCCATTAGTCGGATCTGTTCATTCGTCTCCTCTCGATTTTGAATGTTCAACGAACCACTCTATTCAGAATCATAGTCAGTGACATGTATACTCTACGAGTGAGTTTTCTGATAACGTGAACAAAGGGCGCTTAATAAAATTACTCAATAGGAGAGAGGTTTGGCTCAAGGCGTAGCCAGTGTTTTCAATGGGGTAAGCCGGATCTTCTTATCCAAGCCCTTGTGCTCATACGTTACTGGCGTTACTACCAGTTTGGGCTCGGCTTCGGCGGGCCTCTAGGAGGGCTGATAACTGATTGGTGAAGTTATTCCTCGCGCAAACATCAATGTATTTGATCCTGACTGGAACATTCACAGGTTTGGATGGCGCTGGGCTTTCCTTTGTCAAATTCCGCTTTTCGTCATTTCGCTATTTCTCACCTCGGTCAATTTGAGTTATGTGACAAAGGGGAAAGGAAAGAGTACGGTTGAGGTTCTCAAGCGGATCGATTACTTTGGTAGCTTCACTGTGTTGATCTCGGTGTGTCCTTTGGTCCAACGTATCAAGCTTATTCGCATGCTTCTTTTGAATGTTCTCCTTCAAAAATGGAAACTAATATTTGTGGTTTATACTTACAGGTCGGTTCAATGTTGATGTTCCTCAGTACCCGTTTTAACGCCAACCTTCCTGTAACTCTCATCTCTTAGACCAAAAGGAAGATAGCTGACTTCCGGAATGTAGTGGTCTGATGCACGAGTGATAGTCCCGCTAGTCCTATCAGTCGTGTTCTTCGTCGCATTCATTATTGTAGAGATCTACATTGCTCCGGAACCCGTACTAGCACCGTTCCTCTTGAAACAAAAGATACCTGTTCTCGTTGGAATTTCCAACTTCCTGGTAGCGACATGTAATTTTACCATCACGTACTTCTTTCCTATGTGGTTTCAGACAGTGATGTTGACGAATGCATCAACAGCGGGTTCGTCTTTCCCTTACCATCCAAGAAATAATGAAACCTGACTCTCCCGAATCAGGTTTACATATTCTCCCGAACAGCATATCAATGTCGTCGGGATCTGTGTTCGCTGGTTGGATGATGCATCGTACGGGAAAGTATAAGATGATCAACATGATCTTTGGAATTTTCCCTTTCATCGGCACGGTGCTCATTAGTCAGATACACGAAAATTCTGGTTGGCTTCAATCGTGGTTCAGTATCGTAAGTTTTCCCTCGAGGAAAGTGAATTTTCTATGGTACCAATAATATTTTTCTGCTGGTATCAGATTCCTATGGGCTTCGGTAACGCGGTTGTGTTACAGACTATGCTCAGTGCGTCTTACGATTTCGTCTAGTCTTGCAATCGCCTAAGACTCATTTTTCTTTCTTTCGGGATATGTTAGTCGCACTGCTAGCACACATACCTGGTATGGAATTTTTCATCTCGATTCCAGTTCAAGGCTCATCAATTACAGAATCACATATGGCCGTTGGTACTGGATTCGGTCAACTATTTAGAGGAATCGGTGAGTGGAAGCCGCATGTTTCTATTATTGCTCAATAGCCAATCATGGATTTTCAGGCCAAGTCGGTGGCGTCGCCATATCTTCTGCGATATTCCAGTGGAAGCTGGACAGTGCACTTCGAGAGCGAATCCATGATCCTGACGCCGAAAAGGTGATAGTTCTTCCTGCCGCTCGATTCTCTCGATACAGTACAACGCTAATCTCTCTCCTCCGTTCGTTATAGATTATAACCCATATTAGACAAAACGCACGAGCAATCGGGACGCTCCCACCGAGGTTGCAACGTATCGCACGAGACTCATACGCCGTCAGCTTGAAGAGCGTGTTTTTCTTCGCTTCTGTGTCTACCTTGATGGCATATCTTGCTCGATTACCAGTATGTTTCTTCCGAATAATATGATTGACAATCTGATGTTCTCTCTTCCAGATACCCGAAAAAGATCTGGACAGTCGTCCGCGATCGAATTCAGCCCCTCCCTTACCGCCGCCTACTGCTATTCCCTCATCCTCTTTGACCTCGAAAAGTCGTAATGAAGAAGAAGAGCAAGAGAGAGGCTTCAGCCAGGAACCGAGTACATCGACAACACCTGACTCTGAGATGTCCGAAACGGACGCTTTCTTCCCTGTGTCGAGTTCGCCAACAATGATGCCCAATAGGAAACGTCGTCTATCTACGTTTGAATCTACGGAAGGGATTTTAGATTTGGAGAGTAGGCGGATTGGAGGGTCTGCCAGGACTGGAACCAGTGTGACGGATTGATTTATGAGATGGGTAAATGACGGATTTTTCTACTTATGATACATCATATACGCATGCATTCTGAAAGACCTGATACGAAATTAATACTGCAATATCGTATCGAAACCTTGAAGGAAGTTGAAGCTCAGGGTCACGCCGAAATCATATCCGAAACAAACGGAATGTAAACACGACACAACGCTCATTCCTGGCTCATTCTCTATTCTCCATGTTCAAACGTTTCACCCATGCTGCCTTCAAATTTCGCTATGTTATGCCCAGGAGACGAAGCCCATCGTCGGCGGCTCTGACAGTAGGCGTTTCCACCACGTTGTTATTTGTAACAAGCTTAGCTGTGGCTGGAAGGAATTCAAAAACCATTATTCGCTGTGAATCTGAGCTTGACGATGAATTGGCTTCTTCGGATAAGAAGGATCTTAGTAAAGGGTTCCAGAGGCCCCGTTGGTCGGATGAAGATTATCTTTCGGCAGAAAAAATATTATCCTCTGGACCAATCTGGTTTCCTGCGAAGAGAGCAGGAATAGTACGATGTGATGCACTGATTGTCAATGCGTAAGCTCACTGAAAAAATCTATAATCACTCTGGCCATAACTTCTTCTAGGAATCCTGAGTCCGAAGATTCAATAGCGGTGTATTTTCCGAGCACTGATGACGAAGACGACCGGCGGTCATACATGGCTCTCTTTGACGGTCATAACGGACCAGCAATGAGCGACTTTCTATGCGACCATCTGGTCGAATATGTCGCGAGCGCTATATCAAAACTTCCCCAGCAATACGAGCTGTCTGGCTATCTTGAAATGCACAATAGTGATGAGAGCAACTCCTCTGCAATCCCTGCAGACGATGTTATCTCTGACACAATCAAGCACGCGTTCAAGGAAGTCGACGACGCCATGATCGATGTTTCCGACGTCTTATCCTCTACTTCCAAAACCAACGCCATCCGTACCCTTCGCCACGCCCATTCCGGTTCCTGTGCACTCATGTCCATATATGATACCGATACTCAGATTCTACGTGTCGCCCTTACAGGCGACTCTCGTGCTGTGCTCGGGCGCAAAGTACTATCTAAGGATGGCAAGACAAATGGCTACCAAGTCCATGTACTTTCTCAAGACCAAAACGCACATAATCCTAAGGAAATTGTGCGTTTGGAAACAGAACACCCTGGTGAAGAGGTCGTGAAAAACGGACGCGTGATGGGCTGGGGTATGGCTCGTGCATTTGGAGATGCAGCATACAAATGGAGCGTCGATATTCAGGAGAAGTTGTACGAGAAGTATCTCGGCGATAGGGTACGCTCAAACATGAAAACTCCGCCTTATCTTACCGGTGCGTGGATATCTCTCTAATATCCTCTGCGCTCATCTGACACTATGCTCTTCGTTGCCAATCACAGCCGAACCCGAAATAACCTCCATCCGAATCCAAAAAGGTGACTTCCTCATCATGGCATCTGACGGTCTCTGGGACTGTCTCACGAGCGAAGAGGCCGTAGGCCTCGTCGGCCTCTGGCTCGCTAATAATTCTCACTCCGTCTACACCGATTCCCCTGTCAAAGATTTTGCTAGGAAACGACTTAAGGACGAAACAATCTACACACGCGACGAGCTGCCATTGAAAGCCCCACTGAAAAAGGAGAACGATGAAAGTGACAAGACGCCGTATTACCCGTGGTGGCATGTTGCGAAACGGTTCGTGAATAGGGACAGTAGTGCTGCAGCTCATCTTACGAGGAACGCTCTTGGAGGAGCGGATACTGATTTAACGGAGGCGTTGATTAGTTTGGCGCATCCTCGTGCTAGGAAATATAGGTATGAGTGTCTTTTGCGATTATTTTCAGAGAAATGAATTCTCGCTGCAGAGACGATGTTGGAGTTCTCGTGGCCTTCTTTTGAACAATCAATCTAACCTGCAATAGTGATATCCACTTTTCAACCTTCTCAGTACGTTACTTGGTTATGTGGTTTCCATGAAAATCTATCCATATCTCGTGTAATTGATGAAGAAGTAGAAACTTTTCGGATTCAAATTGCTCGGTTGGGCTGTGTTCACAACTCAACTCACACGAGTGGAGGTTAGAACGAGATTTTGCTGGAATTCAATTCAACTTTCAGTGTCATAGTATGTAGTCCGTTAAGGGTTAAGGCCGAACATTTCACCGTACTCTTCACCGTACTCGACATGGAAAGGTAGCTATTACGCCACTGCGACCCATATCATTCTGTACATTGTATATAGGGAATTAGCTTAGGAGTTGAATATGATACTCCCTACACACTGCCAGAAGCCTGATTTTCGGGGTGGCCAGCCGCATAATACTTGAGCTGGAAAGGCCGAATTGATTCGCTGCTGCGACTCCCGTCGTTCTGTACGATGTTTGTAAGAGTTTGACCATCTGCCATACGGTGCTCGTATTGAAGCTTAAAGGGCTGAATCGAGCAACTGCAAGTACCATTAGCAGTACTTACATTGCATTGTTCCAGGTTCTTCGTGGTCACTCCTCCAAGAGCCCGATTTTCGACGTCCCCAGTTTCCCGTACAGGATAGGTCTGGAGAGTTGCAAGAGCATCTATACCAAGCCCAATGCGAACGACGACCAATGAGGATGCTATACCCTGTCAGATGTGGAAATACAGATATACAGTGACGCGCAAATCAAATCCACACCCCCCAATTTGGAAACCGGGCGCTTAAGTTTTATCCTCTACCATGACTCGACGAAAAAAGCCCACTGGCCTCCCTCCTATTAAAATAACACCTACGAAACGTCGTGCTATACTTCTGTATCGTGATGAGCAAAATAAAAGCTTCAATTGGATTGCTAATGAAGCTCCATTGTTCAAAAATACTGCAGCTGACCATACTACAATTGCGAACAACTATCGGATTGCAAAAAGAGATGGGTGCTACTACAAACCATCTCGTCCTGGCCGCCATCGTCGAATTCCATCTGCTGAGGCACGCCTAGGAGTTGCAGAGATTGAGGCTGGTCGTGCATCAGACGGCGCTGATCTCCAACGGCAGAAATTCCCAACTGTGCCTCAGTGCACTGTTCGTCGCATGCTCTGTCGATACGGCCTTCATGGCTTTGTACGACGCCGTAAAGTCATTCTTACAGCCTATAATTTTGCTCAACGGTTCGCATTTGCCCGTGTATGGAGCAATTGGGCCTGTCGCGAAGGGTGGATGCAGTACAGAGTCCTTTTCTCCGATGAATCCAAATTTGTCCTCAATGGAGGCTCGGATGGACTTCGTTGGTGCCGGCGACGGAAGCGGCAGAATCCTTTCACAGAGCAACTAGTCAATCAGAGGGACAGAAGGGGTTTGGGGACAGGATCTGTGATGGTTTGGGGCTGCATGACCCGGACTGGGGTTGGGAGACTTCGTTTGATTGATGGAACAATGGATCGCTTTGGATATATCGAAGTTTTACAGGTGCGTCTACTGTTTAAAGCATCTATTCTAGAGCTAATCCCATAATCTACAGGATAGCTTACTTCCCAGTGTCCGAGAATGCGGATATGAAGGCCACCAATGGATTTTTCAACAGGATAATGACCCAAAACATACAGCTCATGCCACCAGCGATTGGCTCAAAGATCAAGGTATCTACACTCTGAAATGGCCTTCAAAATCCCCAGATGTCAATCCTATCGAGAATGCTTGGGCCGAGCTTGGCAGGCGACTTGAAACCATGAACCCTCGTCCTCGTTCACAGAGCCAGCTTTTTGCTGCTCTCGAGCAAATCTGGTACAGTGCGGAGTTCAATCGGTTTGTTAGGAACCTCTACCATACATTTCCACACCGAATACAGGGTCTGCTCGAAAATCGAGGCCGCTGGTTGAAGTACTGATCCACCCAACATCATCCAATTACTTTCACTGTAATCCAGCTGTTTTTACTCATTTCTTGAACATTTCTTGTACAATACACACAGTATATCATATTCATATTACTCTACACAGTTATACATAGCAATGTAAGCCATATAAAACCTCAAAATTGGGTAATTCTGAGTAGTGGAACGACGAAGCAAGGTTTCCAAGCCGGTGACGTAATGACTTCCAAATCGGGGGGTGTGGATTTGATTTGCGCGTCACTGTACTATGAATATGTCGCAATGTTGGGGAATAATTTATCACCCACCACAATTTGGGTTAGTGCATATGGAGACAAAACAGGCCCCCCAAAGAAATTATCAAAATATGAAGCTAACCACAGAACAAAGAATATTGGAGTGAGAACGGCAGATTCTAGGCTTCAGAGCAAAGAGCGAATTGTAAATTCAAGAGCAAAGCGTGATAGGTTATTCCACCAGTAAGTATCACGTACACGGGACCCAAAAGATCTCGACTGGGTGGACCAACCACCTTCTTGATTCTTCGATTCAACCACCAGATTCTTCCAGCTAACAACATTCAGCGCTGATCAAATCAAGAACTAACAGTATACTCACCTATCATTCCTGACAAGTAGAGATTTTGCGTAAGTGCTGCAATGAAAAAGTAAATCTGAGTGTTGACTATTGCCACCTTCCCCAAGGAAGATAAAAATCCGATGACCCAGAGTACTTGCAATCAAGATTCATGAGCTTGCAACGATGGACGGAAGGGGTCACGACCTCTATCTTACCGAAGCATGCAGGTATACTCAGGAAAGGAACAATAATAACACGTTTTGTAGAATTCCAGAGTCGATAACAGCGATGCATCTTTTAAAAAACAAGTTTAAATCGATTCGTGTGAACTGAGCTCATAAGTAGGGTCTCACCAACATGATATCTGACAATGAACTGAAGAGATCGGTTAGCCAGTGGCACAAAATCGATCAAGTTACACTTAACCAAGCAAAAGGGAAGAGCAAATCAAGCGTTGCGGTAATCTGGAACGGATACGCCGAAGGATAATCCGATTCAGGAAAGACACTGAATGGTAGAGAGTATACAGTGCAAATTGAGACTAGCTCAACCGCGACGGATGCCGTGGCCAGGGTGAATAAGAGAATGGTTGCAAGGATATATGGCTTCCCGGGTGTAAACTTCCGCCGAAAGATGTGGACGCTGAGACCAAAGAGCACTATGAAAACGCCTATAGAATATTATCTCGAATTAATTCTCGGGATCTTCGGTACGCGTTAGAATGGCAAGCACCATATAATAGTAAATCAAACTTTTTGATTGAAGTCGATACAAGAGGAAAAAAATGGGTCAGTGTCGATACATGGAATTTGAAGTTCACGTACCGCAATCGGAATAATAATCTTACTACTCAACTTTTGTTGGAAAATGTGTAAGGAATCAAAAGCTATACATGCTGAGTAGTTTTCCGGACAATTTGAATCTGGACGGCTCATGATGTAGAAAGAGCACGGGAAATAGACGAGCATGCACAGTGGTGCATGGTAGTTATATACCCGCCAGGACCCACTGCTCCTGACAGCAACACCGCGGCCGAGAATATCTAGGTTCCTTCTGCTACCTCGGTGTGCATATAAAAGCACTACCAAATGTAAGTAGGAATGATTCCGAGATGGCAATGAAGCTTACTTGTATGTAACCGAGCTATTTTGCAAGCTCCTGACACTGCCCACTATACTCGGATGTTCCCGCGAACTCTTTCTTCCCGCTGGAAGCTTGTCTATAAACTGTACAAGTATTAAAAGCCAGATCTTGATCAACGACACGATGATGAGAGTCAGTTCCAATATTGTATATTGTCCTAGGAAGGAAGGGAGCATCAGTAATATCCGGAATTACTGGTCCGAACTGTTTTGGACTTGCCGAGACTTGCAGCAACCCAAAAAGCCCAAAAGTTCACCAGTAACCAGTCAAGTCGAAATTTCTGCCAGTTCAATCAGAGTTCAAGTCACCAAGGTGGCAAATGAGTTTAGATGCTCCTGAACATACTTGTAGATAATTTTCAGGTATATAACACTTAATTCAGCTACTTCATTACATAGTATAGGTATGTACTCAAACACCATTAAGAAAAAGATTTGGGTGAGCCAGTGAAAAAGTCTAAAACAGCCGGTAACAGTTGCCAGTTTTTCCGGCATTTGCTGATGAGTCCTGTTGTCGTGATAGTCGATTACGGGACTGATAATTAAAGCTTGAACTTCTTTGGTGGATGGTGGAACCTTTCGAACATTATGATCTATGCTCACACCGCATACACGTCGGACGGCTTATACAGGCTTAGAGATCTACTGTAATTGCTTTCCCTAGCAGAATTTTGAAATCTGGATGGAAGGTGGATCTTGAGCTTGAATGTCTCTTGCCATATTCCGATCTCTCCTGTTTGCGTATTCCGAAATATCGCTAGTGTTTATTCCTATTTGTTTGTTCAATACATTTTAATACATTTTAGGGCCTAAGCGCTAAGCTCTTCGGGGACGGCTGAGGCTGGCTTGCGGGACAAAATGCACTGTATGTTTGAACATACAAACCTACGTACAGATCAATTGGTAAATGATATGAGATAGATAGATTGTTACATGGCTTTACCATACGGTGTGTGTCCTGGAACAGCGAAAGGAGAAGGTAGACTAAGGTAGACTATTGCACATTCCCAGACATCTGCAAAACCTGGATATTCGGCTAAGGCCTGAGAGCAGATCCCAGCAGATCCCAGCGCTGAAAGCACCAAAAGCAACATGCTCTGGGTGCTTTCACTGCTGGGAAGTGCTCTCGACCACTTTCGGACCCTTAGCCGAAAATACAGGTTTTGCAGATGGAATGCTAGCTTACAAACACTGGCACGAGCTTGAGCTTACAATATATTGCACTTGTAGCTTGATTACACAGTATTTTCTCTTCTACGAGCCTAATCGCGCACCAATGGGACAGTACTGGAGAATAATGAACATCGATAACGAGGAATCCACTGGGGGCCTGGGAAAACTAGGGGAATTTTTCTGGTACTCAAGCCAGATTATCAGCTATCTCAAGACCCCGCCTGTAATTCCCTCATCTTTCCTCACTTCATCTGGCATTTTTGAAGAGAAATCACAGAAACGCAAGTAAGTATGATTATTATATCAATATCTCATTATTAATGCTAAGTCAGATCTGTAGAGAGGATCCCACATCGATAATTTTATCTCTTCCAAATGAGCTCTTGCTTGCGATAGCTGAAGAGCTGTTGGAAGAATATCTCGATCTTATCTGCTTTTCTCTAACGTGCTCGTGCATATGGGATGTGACTGAACAAGTCCGATATCGATCTCTCTATTCCAGATTAAAGACGAGCAGCTGGGCTGGTGGTCGTATAATTCTTTTGGGAGATTACGCCGGAGCATTGCCCAAGGGGCTTCTCACCGATGCAGAGAAGAAGCAGTTCGAGTTACACGGCCACGATGATGATGACCTAGGGGCACTTCTCTATTACTATGCTGACGAAAAGTTCGAGAGGCCGCCGGCAAACATTTCCCTCCTCACCGACAAAAGGATCCAGGCTAACCGTATCCTTCGTAAAGAACTGCTTGCATATAGTCATCGTGAGCCGTTCTCCCCTTGGATCTGGCTATGGGGAGATTTCACCCCTAGCCGGTCGCCGCAGGACCGTTGGATAGTCCGTAACCTCACTAAACAGGAATATGTAATCAAGACCAGATCGCGCAACCTCACTCAGATACTTTACTGTCTTATCGGATGCTCCGATGACCCTTCCGTTTCCATGCGTGGAGGCGAGCTACTCATCCATGGAGCATGGGCAGGAGATAGGATTGACATCACACTTGTCTCATTCCATAAACAAGAGCATGAAGATGAATCTGGTTGGACCAACATCACTGCCGGAGTGAAGAAAACATTGGAGGAACTAGCTGCACGGGAGATGCGTGAATTTGAATTCTAGAGATCTTTTTGGGCTCTATAGGTGACTACATGGGCCCGATTCTACCTAGGCCCTCCATCTATCAATACCACTTATGTATCCCTCCTCTTGGTGGTCTTGCTTCCCTGCTTGCTCGCAAGCAAGATTGAGTGTGATACTAGTCGAGTACCAGACTGACGATATATACAATGTTCATGTATAGTGTGATGCGATGGAGTGATAATATGCAGAATTCGAATATCTTTAAGGAACACCCTTACTTTACAACCGACATTGACCCCAGAATGAGCGATCAATAGCCAAGGCTAAGAAACTCTTCATATGACGACAGATACAAATACAAATACAGTTGCAGCCTCTCAGGTAGTAGGTAGTACACATCGATTGCATTTTCCCAAACTCTTAGAAGTAAGCCTGGAGTTAAGATGCATCAACACGAAAAGATGGCAGATCAACGAATCTTACTGCAGCATTCGGGGGACTTGCACACCCACCAATTCTACACCAAAAAAGGTTTCAAGTTCATCATAATGACGCAAACGCAAACCAGGAGAAATCTTACATAGCAAGTGGCCAAGACGAGAAGAAAAATGTGTATCGTCCCATCTTTGCACATACTTGGGACAGTTGTTCAACGTCGAACATTTCACCTATGATTTGATTTATTTTGATTATTTGATGTGAACCATGGAGATTCATTGACACACCTATAGGCATCCCCCAAAGGCTATGTGTGAGGGGTTGAGACACCACTAGCGAACAAAGGGTTCAATCATCCTTACCCTAAAAGAGTCTTCCGAATTGTAGGGCATCAGTAAGTATTTCTTCGCTTCAATAAAGAAGACGCGAGCTACTAACCTGGTGCATATGTGGAGTACCTTCCCCTGTTGGCCATCTCTACTTTACTGTTAAATCGGTCCAAGTTGACACAAATATAACAGTACAACCACCTCGAGAGCGGGTTGATCTGAAGCTATTGCTGCGAAATGATTATTCCTGCAAGGATCGAACGGTCAATTGTCAGTTTAAGTAGCATCTCATATCACCATGTCAAAACATACCAGAGGAATCGCTTCATGTCTTCAGATTGTTCGATACCCGCACTAATGAGCTCATTTTAGAATGCGTAGTGAAGAGCACCCTTCAAGAACGAAAACGTACTCACAACGTCTCTGGCCTTGCCGCCAGTGCATCTCTCGCTTCCTGTGTAGCATTTTGATATTTGCGTATGAAGCCCACACGTAATATTAATATATCGCCTTGACGAAATTTGACACCCTGTTTCTCCGCACAGGCTTCGAGCTCTGCCACAGTCAATCCATGCGTCGTCCAAGGATCGTAGGGTAATTCGGTGAGACCAGGAGACCCGGTGCCATCCAACTCTCCGCTGTAGTATCTGACTATATCGAGAAGAACACCTCTTCCGCATATTCCATGATTGGCCCAGTCTATACATTCGTCAGAGATGAACCAACTTACTATGATATCAAGACTTACTTTGAATCCCAATGTGGGCCAAGGCCGGATCGATAGCGAGTGGATCGTGGATTGGTACTATTCCGGATTCCATTGCATCCTGAGGAGTACTACCAGTGCGAAACACAGATTATATATAGAAGTTGGAATATTAGACGAAAGGCTTATGAAAAGTTTTGAAAACGTACTTGTTGTAAAACACTCCGTGCTCTTGGAGTCCAAAGTGCCGTAGTCCATCCCATTGCGTTCCCGATTGCGTGTTCTGGGTTGATTAAGAAGATCATAGATATAGATAGACGTAAACTGTGACAACGTTCACGACGGCAGGATCAGCGAAAAAAACTTACTATGTGTATTTCATCATCCCGAACTACTCGGGGTGACTTGAGTATCATATTTACTTCAGGACTCTTACGCCCAAAAAGTGGCTTTCGAAAACAGTATGGTCAAAGCGGATCTGTAAATCGTAGTTCAAACAGGCTCACCTTCGACGGAAATTGAAGTGGCCTATGGAAAGGTCGTTTCGAAGCAACACAAGAATTATGATAAACGGAACCAGGCTTAAATGAAGACGATTTTCGACTGACCAGTTCAACGAAACAGTTGTACCTGTACTGCCAAGAACAAAAAAGCAACACATTGATGGACTATGCAAGCTCGGAAGAGGAACGGAATAATTCACATTATTTCTTCAGCCGCTGCCTTCTTCACCACTTCGTCCGTCAATAGATTGATGGTTCCAAGTTGGTCGTCCTTTCCCCATACCTCCCAAGCGCATCCTTTCATGTTCTTGAACATAGGCAAGTCGTCGAAGTTTGGGAGATCCTTCCATGTTTTAGCACTCGGAGTAGCATCCACAACAGCAGCTAGCGCTCTTAATGGTGGCGCCGACTCAACCGAACTTTCGTTACCGGTCGCCTTGAACGACGATGGAGAGATCCAGGGAAAAAATCGAGATAGTCTCTTCGCAGTCATTGCAGCAGGGATGGTAATCTTCGTAGCAGCAGGTAATCAGCGGGAGAGTGGTACAAACTAAATCAGTGTGGGATGCAGTGGGTACTTATGTAGGATGGGGTTTATAATAGCGCGGAGGAAGCGTCCCTTTCTCACTGACTATCTGCAAGAATCGTAATTTGGCCGGCTTCCGGAGTCACCGGTATACAAAACATTTTAAGGACAATCGTGGAGGTACCACGCTCGATGATCTCGTGAATCCGTTATACAACATCGGAATCAACAGTACGCATCTATGGATACGGCAGTACTTACAAAGGTAAGGGCGCGACAGAAAGGGAAGCTTGTCCATAATTGAGATGAACTTGGCATCGCTTGGTAGCTGGTTCCGTCCTGTATTGCGGTTGAGAACTTCACTCTGTAAGGAATTGGCCAGCAGTCAAGAGTGATTGGATTGCATGGTAGTGACGCGTATTGTATCATCTTGAGGGCTCTGAGAGGTCGGGACGTAAACCATCCGCGCAAGTTCAATTGCACGTACACTTCAGCTTCATTATTAATAACGCGTTGATATTCAACTTTAGAAGATCGACCTTACCTCGTTTGTTGTTCTTCCATTATATTCAAAGCCGTGTGGCTGATGCCACCACCGTGGTTTATATTTCCTCTTACAGGTGGCTCGTTCGAACTAACGTGTTAGCGACATTTAAAGAGTGAAGGATGAAAGGAACGGGCAGAAGGAATACTTGCATGCTAGAACGTAGATGGATCAAGAAGTAAGATAGAAACTGCTCCACGGTATTTGTTTGCACAGAGCATGGCGATAAGGGCATTAAAGTAGCCTAGTAGAGTGGGGTGGACAAGGTAGGGGAGATCAGGAGACATGAAACGGCATAAAAAACCGATATTGTTCAAAAAAATAAGGTTGCGCGGGTTTAAAGGAACAGTCGTAGAATATGCTGGAGTAAGGTCGAAGATTTTGTTCTTCAAGTCAACCCGCGGCCGCGCTCATGTGCATTTTCAAGGCCGTCATTGGAAAAGCTGGTGGGTACACCATTGGTAGGATCTAGATTGAAGTTTTTTTGGCGTCTAGCCGTCAGGCTCCCAGCGTCTAACCAGTTCTTGATCTCGACTTGTACTTACAGTGATTCTGCTTGGGGAATAACATGGTTCGCTCGCAATCAAAAATTTGTGCCAAGTCCGGCTGCTACAATATCATACGCCGTATTTGGAAAACTTCGACCAAAGCAGAGCCTCAGCGGGCCCCAGACCACAAGATCCGATGAACTTCTTATGTCACACATGGTACGACGGGGAAAGCCCACCGGAAACATCGCCTGACCTTGGTGTTGGCGAACTTCGGCCTTTAAACGTTGGAGTGCACGCATCACTGGACCCCGCTATCTTCCGGCATAAAGCCTGTTGCTCTTCGTCTGTTTCAGAACCACCATGATTCACACAAATATCGCCATTACATTTGGTGCAGTCTACTTCATATCGTCGGTGTTCGCGACGTGGATCGACCCTTCCTTGCTTGATGCATGTCCTGGATATAACATCGCAAACCCAGCCAGCCAAGGTTCTACCTTCACCGCCGATCTAGTTCTCGCCGGGACAGCGTGCAATGTATTTGGGTCGGATTTGAAGAGTCTAAGTTTGGCAGTCGTTTATGAGACCGGTTCGTCATTGTGATTTTCCTTTATCAGCATTAAACATGTCTTTAGAAAATCGCATTCATGTCAAAATCATGGACGCGAATGGCTCCCGCTACGAAGTCCCCGAATCTGTCTTACCTCGTCCAAATGCTACTTTCGGAGGCTCAATTAGTTCGGCGGCAATTCAGTTCAATTACACTACTTCTCCTTTCTCTTTCACGATCTATCGTACCTCAACGAGCGAAGTTCTCTTCACGACTGCCTCTCATCCTCTCATCTTCGAGCCCCAATATCTTCGTGTCAAAACCGTTCTCCCTCCCAACGCCAATATATACGGACTTGGCGAACACAGCGACTCATTCCGTCTTCCGACATTCAACACTACGCGTACGCTCTGGTCTCGGGATGCGTATGAAATTCCGACAGGTACAAACCTGTATGGAAATCATCCCATATATTTCGAGCATCGCACCACCGGAACTCATGGGGTATTTCTCTTAAACTCGAACGGCATGGATATCAAGATCAATGATACGGAGAGTACGGACGGGAGCGTGACTTTGGAGTATAATGTGCTTGGAGGCGTGTTAGACTTTTACTTCTTGGCCGGAAGCGAGAATGACCCTTTGGAGGTCTCGAAGCAATATGCAGAAGTTGTCGGTACACCCGCAGAGGTACCGTATTGGAGTTTTGGGTTGCATCAGTGTCGATTCGGTTATACAAGTTTGTTCTTCCTACTTTTTTTCCTTAGACGAGTCAAATTGCTGACCAGATAGCAGGTTACGTAGACGTCGCTGAAGTTATCACAAATTATTCCGAGGCAGGTATCCCTCTGGAAACCATGTGGACTGATATCGGTGCGTCAGAACTAGACTACATAGCTACTCGATCGTTATGCGAGTTTTTTTTCTTGCTTTAGATTACATGGACGGACGTCGAATTTTCACCGTCGACCCTTCTTACTTCCCACTTGACCGAATGAGAGAAATCGTAGATTATCTGCATACACATGATCAGAAATATGGTTCGTCCTCGACTGCTTTTGTCCTATCCTCCTATTGACCTATTATGTATGCAGTCCTCATGACAGATCCTGCGGTTGCATACGCCCCGGGCGAAGGTTATGGAACATATAATCGTGGAAGCGCGTTGGACGTTTGGCTGAAAATGCCTAATGGAAGTGCAGAACTCGCGCTTGTATGGCCTGGTAGGTGTTCTGAATTTGATTCTATTAGTCTGATACTCACTGTTCCTGTAGGTGTTACGAATTATCCTGGTACAGTTTTCCCGCACGCGATTTTGTAAATCTGACTTATCAAATATTGTCCCCTTCAGATTGGTTCCATCCATCCATTCAAGAGTACGTCGCTACATGTGTTATCAATGCTTGACATCCTTGCTCACCGCGTCTGCAGCTTTTGGACGACCGAATTCGGTTTATTCTTCAACACCTCGGACGGCATTGACATTGACGGTGCTTGGATCGACATGAATGAACCTTCAAACGTAAGTTTTGTGAGTATCTCACCTTCAATATCATTGATGTCCCCATCAGTTCTGTGTTCTGCCATGCACAGATCCTTTTCAGCAAGCTCAGGAAATGGCCTTGCCTCCACCTCGAACCGCGCCTCCACCCGATCCTGATACTCCCATCTTCGGGAACTCGTCATCGATTGCTTCCTCTTCCTTAGGAAAGAGAGAGGACCTGTTGAATCCACCATATGCCATCCAGGATGCTGCTGGAAATCTTTCGGCGCTTACTGCCTGGGTAAATGTCGTTGCCCCTGCCCAGGACAAATATCGTATTAATTTGTGTTCGATCTCTTGTCGTAGACCAATGCAACACACGCAAACGGCCTAGTAGAATACGATACACACAATCTCTATGGCACCATGATGTCTGTCGCCACACGTGCGGCTATGCTTGCTCGACGACCTGGGTTGCGTACACTTGTCATCACTCGTTCAACATTTGCCGGTGCCGGTGCCCATGTCGGTAAATGGTTGGGGGACAATTTCAGCTCGTGGCAAGAGTACCGGTTAAGTATTGCTGGTATGCTGGGTATGGCTGGAGTGTATCAGATTCCGATGGTTGGGAGTGATATTTGTGGGTACGCTGAAAATACGACAAGTACCTTGTGTGCAAGATGGGCGATGTTAGGCGGGTTCTATCCGTTCATGAGGAATGTGAGTGGTTTTGTGACATCCTTCGGTAATGAGCTTATCCTTTATTCTCTAATTGGTTCCAGCATAATGCCGACACGTCTATTAGTCAAGAATTCTATCGGTGGCCTGTTACTGCGCAAGCGGCGAAGAATGTGCTTGACATTCGGTATGTCTCTGTGATTTCTAATGCTTTGCACTCTACTCACCCTCCTATGCTGTAGGTACCGGCTTATGGATTATATTTATACCACCTTCCATCAGGCTAGTCTCGATGGGAGTCCCGTTCTACAAGCGTTGTGGTACAAATATCCGAAAGACACGTCCACCTATCCAATCGACCTCCAATTCCTCTTTGGTCCGTCTATCCTTGTGTCGCCAGTGACCGACGAGAATTCCACCTCAGTCACCATCTACCTTCCTCGTGACACCTTCTACGAGTTCTTGACACTCGAACCAATTTCTGGAACCGGCGCAAACGTCACCTTGACCAACGTCGACTTTACGGAGATTCCGGTCCACATCGTCGGCGGGTCTATCTTACCCTTGCGTGTCAATGGGACCATGACTACTACGGAATTGCGTCAGAATGATTTTGAGATTGTGGTTGCTCCTAGTGCAGCAGGGAATGCCTCTGGGCGGCTTTACGTCGATGATGGTGTTTCTTTGAAGCAGACCAACGGAACTACTGCGTTAACATTCGATTATCAGGATGGGACCCTTAGCGTGAATGGGACTTTTGGCTATAACCTGGGAGTGAACGTCGCGGGCGTGAAGATCCTTGGTGTTGATCAATCCCCGAAGAATGTGTCGGTCGTTGATCAGTCCGGGCAGTCGATTGGTAATGGGAGGTTTAGTTATGATGCGGGAACGAAGGTGGTGGAAGTTGCGCTTGGAGTTGCCTTTGATAAAGCATTTGAGCTTCATATGCAGGAAGCATGATATGACATATTATTATCTTGGGGTGTAACTCAGGACGATTCACATAGTATCTCTATTCTTTTATATCTGTTTCGTGGTCTGAGCATACAACCCGGCCAAATTTTGACCATCGTAATTCAACTTTGGACGTTTCTCACTCAGTCGGTTTTACCTCGTGGAAATTTTCTGCTACGGCATCCGCGTCCCAGAGTTTAATGAGGCATCAAGGTGATCTCTATTCGTGGCTCGTAAATAAACCTGTCATCGCGATGCCTGGAATAAATTCGACATGATATTCTATTCAAAGTATGCTATTTGCGGGCGTATGCCTCGAACTGTGCCGCAAGTACTACACATATAATCTATCAGCATTGGTTTCAAGACAGCCCCTGGCCCCTTCTCTCATCGAGGCTCGCCTCAATTGAAGTTGATTCAGGTAGTTAACTCAGAACTGCATGGCTTTTCAAGACTACGGTTTCCTATTTTGAGGGGGGAAATGTGGGGAGAAAGCGAAGGAAAAATGATCCTGGTTCCTCTGAGAAATTCCTACAGCTAGCACAGGACCTTCAGCGTCTGATAGCATTACAACAGTGAGTATTTTCGCTTGCTTTCTTTGTATTATTACTAGAATCAGTTTCAGATACTTCCCAATTGCGGCCCCGCGAGATCTATGACAGTACTTTCAATGCTGTCTAAAGCTCCCTGTACAGTGCCACCAGCACCATTAACACCACCTTTGCCATCACAGCGAATAATCTCCATAATGTTGGCGTCCAATACAATGTCAACCTTCACCTCCACCTTAATATGACGATCATTTTCACCAGAGAATGTTCGACGATAACTTTGTGTGTATACCCGTTTTAAGTATTCTTAGCAAACACTGACATAATTGCCTACTTCAACAAATTGCCATCTTGAGCTTTGATACCGCACCTTGAACATTTAGCTATCCGCAGTCACCGGTAGAAAATTCCGGGACTTGGGAAATTGTTCAAACCTCCCTCCCTCCACTCCCTCACTTGCGGGGGTTTGGATCGAGACGGTTGAACATGGTTTCGAAGGTTGGAGCCTCTGATATTAGAGGTCAGGATAAGGAAATTCACCGCGCCAAAGAGAAGTGCATTTGAGAGCTGTGATCCGCCATTTTATTCTTTTCAGTGCACGATGATCTTGGTCCATTGTATTGTGTCCATGAGCTATGTCATTTTCTTAGTATAAGTCTTACCAATGGTACGTTACTGTCCTTGTAGAACATTGTCTTTCTTTCTTTTGCAGGTCTCCTACTGGATCATGTCCGCTCCAATGGACCTATTTCCAATGGAGTTGATCTCTGACCTACCCAGCTGTTGAACGAGGTACAACATTTTCTCAACACACGAGGAATAACTTGGACCACACATACATAATCAGTTCGAGGTAAAAATTCGAGACAAAAGTGGAAAAAAGAGCCACTAGGACTTTGAACTATACTATCCTATCCCATCATGATCGCTGGCGTACCATAAAGCACGCCATTGGATTAACGTTTGACCACTTCATATTTCGGATTCACCTCGAACAGGACGCGCCCTTTCACCGCCGTCTTCGATAATACTCGCAATGGCCAGATCCCGAGGAGGACGTTGGCGGTCACCACCGTTCTGAATTTTGGGCATAATGCTATCGCGAGGTCGAGTTCTGACACCGCCGTCGTCAATGATGCCCATGACGTCATTGTCACGATCGTTACGAGGCAGACGCTCCCTGTCACCCTCAACGACGTCGCGGGACCGGGGAGGATCTCTGTCCCCACCGGCTTGGATGGTCTGCATGACGTCGCGAGCAACTACTGAAAGAGACCCATTGCTTTCATCGCGCGCCGGACGGTTCCTGTGGACAAACAAAAAGAAAGCAAGTTTACTCGGTACAGGCTGTGATTAGACATTGTGCTCACTCTGTTACAATGGAAATTGGAATGGCGATGACACTTGAAAGCAAGAGCGAAGTAAAGACAAGGAAGAAACGCATATCGACTGAGGACGAGAGTCGAAAAAAATAAACGAGTGTCCTGGTACAAGACTAATTCGAGGAAAATGGCACTGTACAGCGCTTCCGTTAATTTGACACTCAACGGCAAAACGTTGTCGAAGACTCACCAGCCAAGAGTTGGAAAAGGAGGTAGTAAGAACGTCTAAAGTGGAATGAGACTGAGGTTCAGATCGGAGAAGATGTCTCCATTATATATGCCCAACTTCAATGCTCCTGGATGACAGTGGATTTCAGGCTGTGCGTGTGGATGGCTACAAGAAAGAACAGCCGTTACGATCATGATATCGTACAGCCCCTTATAAGATGGATAGATGTAGTCGCCATGCTTGACTGATGAAGATAGACGCATTGAGCTCAACGGGGTGATCCTTGATTATCCATATTTGTTTTGGGGGATGATATTGACCAATTCGACAGATCGGAATCATGTATAGTGGATGATGAGGTTGGTAACGCTGAACAGCATTCGCCATTGAAGACCTGTAAGGATTGAAGAGACGGACAAGAGATGAACAAGAAGATTGCTCAATCATGAGAGTATATTCGTAAATAGCACAGCAAATCGTTGAATCTATGGTTCCTGTAGTAAAGTGTTGTTTCTAAAATCGCCAAACGTCCACGTCAAGCATTCTTGAGTCTGTGAAGATATGAGAAACGCTGTGCTTCCCGATTCAAAACAGAAAGCACTCACCGGACAATCGGAATCCTCCTCAACCAGCTCGGGCGTCTCACGACCCAGAGCGCCAATCTTCTCACCAGCCTTCTCCCAATCTTCAGACAACAGATTCTCTATAACGGTGGAGATGGGGTGATTTTGTACACCCACCCTCCATCCGAGCTTTCCTACTGCGTCGTATCGCATAATTTTACCGAGGTGGCAGCGAGATTCCATGGCGAACCCAGCATTTGCGCACGTCGATATGACGCCGTTACAGACACCCATGGGGATTGGCTGATAGGTAAAATGGGTAAACCAAGACTCATCAACGAAAAGGGAATAAATAGAGACACGTACATCGGCGTTGTTGAAGACGTGGGTGATATGGTGAGTTGAGGGAGGTGAGGGAAGGTGAAGCCTTTGAGCAGCCATCATTTCGGCAGGAGCTTCGAAAGCGACGACGGGAGCGCCAAAAGTAACACCAACTAGAGAAGCTAGGGAACCACCCAGTGAGTGTCCGATTACCCAGATATCTGCGTCTGGGTACATGTATGTAATATTATTATACAGATTCTAGCTAAAGGAATCAACATGGGTCCGCAAAAAAATAGGACGAACGACGTACTATTCCAACCGAATAAAACAAGCTATCTTCTATCAGGGCTTTCTCTACGCACGGCAAATTACATTTGTTTCCTCCTTGATAACACCCACAGACAGTGGACCATGTCGGACCGACGCGGGCACAACAACAAGAGAATAAGAGATTATCGTTCAATTTGTCTTTCTTCATCGTTGGGCCACCACCTAGAATGGGAACGGAGGTACCTTTGATGGACACCACAACGGTGGATTTATCTGTAGAAACGAATACATGGCCTCTGAATCCATCTGAATCCGGTTCCCAACCGTACGAGAAGGTTGAATTCCAATCTGTCCCGATGTCGTACCACTCTTTGTCTACAGGCTCGTAGTAAGCATTAGATGTCATCTTGGCAAGTGTAAGTAGAGTATTGCGATGCGTCGAATTTGGAGCTCGAGTCTCGATTCCATCCCAGGCAAGCAAAGTACTTTGTCCGTATATTCTTGACATTCTACGTGCGTCCGAGAATGCGGAGAATGACGGCGGCCTGTAGCTCCGTATATTATGCGTCCTGACAGTGTAATTTTCAGCAAAATCTGAGTAGGATTGAGGTAAGTCTACAAAGATGGTTCGGGAATTATTGGAAACTCCATGCAAGTGGCGCAATCGGAACTGTAACTCTGGTAGAGGAGATTCTATTGGCGGTGAGTCAATCCATAGCAGAGTGGATATGAGGAGTCGTAACGCTGCAGGAATGACGGCGAACATTGAAGACTCAGAACCTTGAGGTCGGTGGCAGGGAAGAAGGAGGGGAATATGCCCTCGCGATTCTTTCGGGAATCAGCACGTGGCAAATCGCAAACGAGATTATCATTAAGGTCGCAATTCGTGTTCTTGCTCAAGCACTCCAGGGCTTCTCAGATTCATTCCAGAAATCCTGTCTAATGAATGTTCGTCGAAGAACCCCAGGCCTGTTACAGGCTGCTTATAGTGTTCGCGCCAATGGAGCGCATAACTTACGAAAGTGTTGGTGTTTTTCCGCTGGTATTGTACTCGCATCCATGATATATTACAGTAACTGGGCTTTTTCAGTGGTTACTTTCAGGTTGCTTTACCCGTTCATTGTTCGTTTAAGCTGTCACCTTATTTTTCCTTTCCAGGACAATTAAGGACAACGTCTTGTCCTGATATGGGCTCGCGCATTGTAATCGTGTGGCATACTTGATTTCGATACTACCGGGCTGGCCAGATAAAAGCAGACTTTTTCAGAGCTTTCGCCTCGACTATTCCTTTGGATCTACTCCTAATCTTCGCAATGTCGCCACCGTTCGAATATTCATACAACCCACAGTGGTCAACCTATCATTCCCAGGCTTCAGTGAACGCTTCGCATGTCCATCACCATCAATATATGTATGAGCTCGCACCTCAGCGACGGATGGCTCATCAGTCCGAAAGCCCCTTGAGTCTAGTAGGTATCATTCATCTGTCCTGATAATGACACCGATACTAATTTCTATCCCGTAGGGCCTATCTCGTCGACATACTAATACACCATATAACCGTGATCATACAACCTCTGCAGTACGTTAGTTCCGCTCTCTATGATTTCCACCATTATCATCCTGATTCGTACCCTCAGACTCGAGCTCCTCGTGGTTCTTCTGAAACCGACCTATTTCCGTCAGGCGGCACAAGGTCTTTCACGCGTCCTCAACCTGCTATCAATGCTCAGTGGGTGTTACAAAATCCAGGACGCTCATGGGACGCCTCGGTACCTCCTCCATTGCAGCTGGAATATCTTCCTAGACGACCAGAGAACTCAGGATATACCTCAGAGCAATCTGTGCATTTCTCCTCGCATGGGTTGCCTGGTCCGTACATCCGAGATATTTTGTCGAAGAATCCAGGGTTGGATGATCCTAAAGCGACTGTTTTTGCACATCTCGGGTGGAAGCGGCTTCAGTGGACTTTCGATGTACGCTCATTTTCACTCGTTAACCTCGTTCTTCCTGCGTCTCCAAACGAATTACTCACTCTTCTTTAGTTCCCTGGCTTGTCCCCAGCAACTCAAAGAATCCCAGTCATGGATGGGGATCGTCACCTCACACGTCTCGAAATCGCGATGGAGATTTGTTTAGAGATTGTTCGTATCATGCGAAGCACGAAGGGCCAGATGCCAGGGGTTGATCCTAGGTGGCGACTCGACAAGTGCAACCCCAAGTACCTTCGGCTCGTAGCATTAGTCTTTTACGCGTCATCCTGGATTCCTGTATTGGCTGTTGATCCTTAGGCCTTGGGCCTAAGTCCAGTTCGGATAAAGTTCTCGTTATTGTTCTGCAGCGACAAATTGTATATTTCTCGAAGTATTGTTATTCAGTCCGTTGAGAATAACAATATCCAGGTACCCAAGCTTTCGAGGGACGTTGAATGGATTCAAAACCGGACTCTTTCCTGCTCCATGTACAAACGCTAAGCATATATGTATGTTAGCTCGAAGATGAATGTACTACCTCGACTGTGATAAGTGATCGATTAATCCCTTGGTCTCATGATTATGGGGAGATAATAAAGTCAATACGTTAGGTTCAGCTCATGGTGAGTCTCGTAGAGCTTTTTTCTTCTCTCCGAGTAACCTTACAAACAGTTATTTTTCAAATAGTATAGGCCTGAATGTTGAACGAATACATCAATGCAGTACTCATTATCATGACTGCTAGCCCACTTGCTGTCTAACGCGAATAAACATTGAAGAATCTGGGAAGATTGTTATTAATATGGATCGCTGCTGTTTGCATGGTGCGGCGAGGGCGTAAACTAATCATTTTCGTGGCTTTGAATAGGTGAGTTTCCGATTATGTAGGATTTCTAAATGAATAACCTTGTGCAGAGTTCGAAGACCAACCCCCCAGGAAATTTGCAAAAAGTGCTTGCCGTTAACTATCTAGTACCACTAATATATGGCAATAATCGTTTGTGGTAGGAGACTTTACAACTGTTAAACCGCTCGCGATCGTTTGAAGGGTGCCGAGCAGTGCGTAGCATGGGGTACCATACAGCGAAGACGGCGTTATAACTTTCACTTCGAATGCCGAGTGGACAAGAGTGTACAGTATATTTCATATTTAGCGTTATGATCGTTTGTTTGACTCTTGAAAGCTTTTGAGGCGAAGAGAGGACAGGAATCTGATACTTATCTTCCTTTGGGCAGTGGTGATGGTCATCAGCGAGAGGATAGGATCACCAGCGATGAGCGTGGATACCCGACGGTACTTGCATATTTGCTTGATCTATAAACTACACCCCTCGTGCTATACTTACTACCACCGTTCTGCATGCTTGGGCTCAGCTCAGCCCACCCGGACGTGCTCTTTCTTGAGGAACTTGGAGTGCAGAGCATTGCAGGACGTGGAACAAAGAAAAGGGGAGAGAAAAAGAATATAGGAGGAGGAATGGTAAGATAAGACGCCGCTGGACCTGCAGTTGTACAGCCCCACCTCGCTTAAACGCCATCAAGAGATGGACGAATTGCTATATAACACCAAGAGATCTGGAATTTTTTTTCCTTCCTCAGACCCTGGCGGTTCTTCTTTGCGCCCACACACGCAACTTTTCTTCGTCGTTGCCTTTCTATCGGCTGGTCCGGTGAAATAGGTCATACACTCGAGTTCTTCCATCGACCTTTTGACGCTACATTCCAACAACTAAAGGTACAAGTGATTCAATAAATTCATCCTGACGTTGAGCACTTACTCGATGACAACAAAGCCATGCGAACCTACAATACACTTATTCCTTTCGTGACTCTCGCTGTTGCGCTTGCGGCGAACGCTGCTCCCCCTACGTACTCTTCGAGTGAGGGTTCCTACACTCACACAGCCTTAATCAGGGATGCTATGTCTCCCGACGGCTTCGTTGAGGCACGCGGCTTCGCCGACGACGATCGCTACCTGTTCGAGCGTTCACCTCCTTCTTCCTCTGATGCTCCTCCTCCTCCTCCCAGCGGCGTTCAGGACACTTCCCCGGGCGGTGCTACGTCTCCAGCTGCTGTGCCTGGATCTTTGTTCTCTGGTCCATCTCCTTACGCCCCACCAACAAAACCTCTTTCTCCTATCCCTCAGGGATCTCCTCAATTTCGTCGTGAAGCAGCTCAGGAACACCACAATTCACCAGCACCGGAAGGGGAAAAGAAGGAGCCTCTTAATCAGCAGAAAGTGGAGGAGCCTCACCATACGGGACAGGCACCCCATCCCGTAGACGAGAAGAAAAATCTAGAACACTCCCCGCCCCCCCCAGTGCCTACGAAAAAACCGGGCTTTATGGATAAATTGAAGGGATTCAAGGTCAAGGCGACAACTTCGGCCAAAGACCCGAATAAGCAAGCGGCGCTCAAAAATAAAGGGAAAAAATTGGCCAAGTACGGGGGATTCGCAGCCGCTGGAATGGGTGCTGGTGCATTGATAACCGGACTAGGTTTGATGCATGCAGGAAGTAAGGAATCATCTCCAACTGGGTCAACCGGCAGTGAAGGAACTGCTAGTAGTACAGTCAGTCCCCCCAGGGTTTCTTAATTTGATTTTACTTGTTAATTGGTTTTGATGACTCAACAGGGCACCGGTAATATAGATGCTACGAGTGGTGGTGGAACGAGCAGCTTGAGCAGTGACACAAGCTCGGGCTCAGCTGATGCCGCAGGATCTGACACCACAGGATCCGATACAAGCTCATCTGGTGACGGTACGACGCCCGCAAAGAGGACTGTCTCCAGGTCAATGTACCGCCGCCGAGTGTCTCGGTGGGATTTGGATTAGATGGACGGACCATAGTCGTAGTACAAGATCTTTTGTTCGATTGTGTATCTGTTAATCAAGAAACGACGTGCCCCGGTCGGGCTATTATCGCCAGATCGATAAATAGGTATCACCGTCGGAGGGTGGTACTGGTGATTGGTTAAAATAAGTATCCCGACGGAGTGATGCGCTGCTCAAACATGATGAAAAACCTATAAAGATACAGAAGCGAGGGTTCCTTCTTATTCCTCTTTGAAACCCGCAATAATTTCGTCGTGTTTCCGGCTGGCCCGGTGACAGTACACATGCGCACTCACAGAACTCTCGTTCCTTTCGTCACTATTGCCCTCACACTCGCTGCAAACGCAGTTCCAACTTCGTATTATCACGACAGTGGGAACAGTGCCGGTGCTTACTCTACGTCTGTTATTGGAGTAGCCAGTCCTACTCTGTCTGCGCGCGGCTCTGGCAAACCTCTTTCGCCTATTCCTGAACAGGATGAAAGGCCAGCGCCTAAACCCAAAGCTTCGGCGGCTGTTGTCATAAATTCCAAGTTTACTAAATCTCCTGGTCCTCCACCTGATCATCCAGCGCCGAACCTTACTGATTTACGAAAACTGGGAGATCCACCTCATGGTCGACCTCTTCCGCCAATTCCTAAACCAAAAGAACATTCCCAACCACCAGCTCCTCCTGCTGTCCCGGCACGCAATCCTAATCGTCCTACTACTCCTAAATCCCATGAGCGGGTGCCCTCCAACGATTCCACTGTACCTAATTTTTCTCGTCCTTTGACTCACAGTCCAAGTACCTCTTTCAATGGACTCACACCGGACAAAAAGAAAGAACCAGATGCAAAAACGAATGAGACTGCCGTTGTGAAAAGTAATGGAAGTACTACCAAGACATTTGCCATTGTTGGTGCATTTATGGCGGCTGCTGGAGGCGGAATGGCTGCTGGATATGGCATGGGGGCGGAATCAAGTGGGAAAGAGACTGACACGGTGAGTTTGCCTACGCCTGTGTTTGCATAGCTAACTTGTATGTCTCAGAGTGATTCGAATGAAACACCGCCTGATCCAACGCAGACTCAGATACAAGACGCGGGGGAACCATCCGCTGTGAAACGATCTGTGATACGGTCAACGTACCAGCGCAGAATCTCTCGTTGGGAGTCGGATGAATTGGATTAAGTTTGGAGACCTTTGTATGAGGTAGTAGTGCCAGTGTATTTCTTGTTGACGAGACTTACGAATCTTCTTGAGACGCTTGATTCTGTATTCTGTTGACGATGGGCTACGGCTGAATGTATCATTGTATGTACTCTTACTTGGTATCACCACACGATCTCCATTCTTCTACTTGTTTTTGATTGTGGAAACAGAAAGTATGATCGAGGTGTAGGCGCCTATACTCTACCGCCTCTTTCACGAGAGAAATCTAATTCATACTTGGCTTTTTTTGTGCCAACTAGCTAATCGTCACGAACTAGCTCTATACATTGTTAATGATATCCTCCAGATTGCACAGCACCACAACTTCCACAAGACCTTTTATACTCATCGATAAGTCCCGAGGTTCACACATCTTAACACCATCCATCAAGTTCTTCTTTCCTAGACAATTTGGTCGACGACTTTCCTCAGGAATTTATTGTCATCATCGTCGGGCGGATTCATCTTATCTCTGTATTATTCCCGTCGCCTCACAGCTACCACACCTCACAAAACTCCCCATCCCATTTATCTCGCTCTCTTTTTTCGTCGACATCAGTTATGACGTGTTCAAACCTTTGGGAAACGCTCTTTCGTCCTACCATAGCATCGAGAAATCATGAACGTTTTGTGAGAGCCAAGCCTGAAGTCATTGGTGGGGAACTGCTTGCGGATAATGCAGTGAATTCACACACCGAACCGAGTGGGGGTGAAAAGCGTCCGCGTTAGAATGCTTAGTTGGGAACTTTAGAGGAGATCGAGCTCAGTCTCATTCGAAACTGCTTGCTCTTCAATCGGTGGTGAGTTCCTGTTTTTCCCTTCTTTGTTTCGATTACTCATTTTATCGAAGACACGATATGACAGATCGCTCCGCGTATTTCACGGCACTTTCGATATTTCACACCACCTTTCACCTCCCCTCATATACATGTACTCTGTATTCGACGGACACTGTTGTAACCGGACTTTTGGGGGCGTGAAGCTGACCTTGACTCCTACCAATGCCTTCTCAGGTTACCTATTGGAGAAGATGGCGCAGCGGCTGAAGGAGGTATAGTCCAGACCTCCCGGGATCATCCAGAGAGCAGGGTAGTCGACCAATGAAACCGACGAACCTGTTCTGTGCAAGATACTCTTCAACTTTGCTCAACGAAAAGCGCATATGGTCTTTTCGAAGTTGATCAGATGTTATTCCTCGTGATGATATTGTCGGTGGTGTTTACTTGAATAGCGGTCCTGGTTTATCTTATCCCCTACATCGGTTTTTCATCTGACATCCTTGAACGTATGTTGAATTCTCGTTGTACACACAAAGTGACGAGAATTTTGATTACATCCTTTGGGGAGATTGACACGTTGACATTGGGCGCGTTTGATATGGAAATTCATAAAACGTGTGTTCGAATCGATGAGTACTCAGCACTTAGTACTCAGTCTCTGAGAGCCTCGAGCAAACCTCGAGGCGGAATAAATTTAATTGATGCCGTCGGCATTTCGGGAAGAAACGCCGGGAAAACGATGGTTGGAAGTGTGGATAATCGGTGACTTGTTCCATCACCACCAATCTCAATTTCAGCTTCACACTCTCTACTCAGCGGGCTACCTGGAGCGTGGGGTTGAAGAGAACTTTGCGTTTCATGCTCATGACACTTCGTATTTCAATATACCCAGTTGTATAGGTTTTCTTTTTCGAATAAATCGGTGTGTAAACATTATACTTTGCATCGTACTCAATCATTCAAAGAATCTGTCTTCAGGTGCATGTTCTGGTCCGATAATACGCGTGTCCTCCGTGTAGGATCTCCTTCCTCTCCACATGATGAATTCTCGTCTTCGACTTCTAATGATAAAACCCTCACGAAAATTAACGATGAATACGACGAAACTTACTGCCAAGCGGTGACACCTCCTGCTGCATATCCCTCCCCTCCACACACAGATATCGACGCTGTTTGCATGATACCGCTTCCCCCGTTTACGTCCGGTCTGTATCCTCATGATGAGGAGGAGGACTACCCTGACGCTTCACACTCTAAGCAAAATACGCGCCACCCAATGACCACGAGTCCCATCGGTGGAGCCCTTGACTCCCCACTCATCTATTTGCAACACCCAGCGCCCCTTTCCCCTCCGCCTACGTTGCCCACACCCACTGCGCTTCTCCCCCCGGCCGAAGAAGACCAAGGAGATACCCTTAATGTTGTTTTACCTTCGAGCCTGCTGGAGTCTTCTCAAGAGTATCATTATTCATGCAACTCTGCGCTCCCTTTCTCAGCGCTCGAGAGTGATCAAAATGATCAGTCCGATTCGGCGCCACCGAATCCGCATCTACTTTCACCTCTATCCCCGCAATTTGTGACCGGAATCTCCGCGATTGGCCATGTAAATCAGTCACCGCGCTCGCCTTCAGACGGTATTGGCGCTACAAGCTTAGAGGGTTCAGAATCGGATCGTAGTCCTTTGGGCCTTTATTCGCTCTTACTTGACCAGACAGGAATTCCCTCACCTGCTTCTCCGAGTTTCGGCATGTACGAAGAATACAAGTGTCCGTGGACGCCACGTTCACTCGATTCTTCATCGAACGACGATGGGAATGCAAGATATATCACAAAATCAATGACGACGGCGCCACATCTATCTTATCCTTCTCCCAAATCATCACATTGGCCACACCAAATTCCTTTGCATCCGCCATCCCATCCACCTTTCCTATCTCCAGATATATCTACTGAGCTCCCCATGGAATCGGAGTTCCCACACCCTAGTTCACCCTTAATACGATATATCGAACTCAATGGTCCTGTTTATGACGGTGAAGCCCCAGGCTCTCAATCTCCTTCAATACGGACTTTTGAGCTCCCTGAATTGGAGGAAGACGAAGATTTGGAAACCGGCTTCGACTCCGGATTGGGATTGTCTCTGACGTCGTTTCCGACCATGAGCGAGATTTCGCCGGCGCCAGAAGACAGTTCTTTGAGATTCTCTTCATTATCACAGTATATTCTACAAAATTCTCCATCACTCATAACGTGTTCACCTCCAACTTCCGGTCCAATCTCAAAACCCACGCTAGAGTCTGATTGGGATACCCCGACTTCAAACTTATCTCCAGCTAATTTCAACGACGCGGGGTATGATAGTGCCACTCCATCCAGTATGCTCTTACTTGACGTGAACATCGAATCCTCACAGAATATCAAGTTTAACCCTGGCAGGCTACCTTCTCCCAACACGCTGGTAGAATCCCTTGATTCCCGTTTATCCCACCTTCCTCTTGATTCCTCTCCTTCCGATATCCCTTCATATGCCGATTGCCCCGAGTACGCTGTCCTTCGCGCTCAGCCCGACCTATATCAAGATCTTCTCCGACTCCTTGCCCTGCACAGAAAAGCACAGACATCTGAGAAGGAGGCGAAAATTAGGGAAAGAGAGCTTGTGGCTCAAGTGGAGTTGACCGATACGTGCGATGCCGGAGAAAAAATAGTGTCAACAATGAATGTAGCTCCGGTCAAGCTCCCATCGTCGTCATCGGCAGTAGTTGAGACAGAGAAGGCGGAAGCAAAAGCTACGAGGAAACGCGAAAAGGAGAGACGTCGGGAGGTCGCTGCAATTGTAGCGTTAACTCTGTTCGGTGGCGCTCACGATACGAAATCAAACCCAAGTGACGGTAGAGTAGAAGTTGGTTCAACGTTGAAGTCGAGCCAAACCTCTACGATAATAACTGGGAATTTGTACAAGGAGCCAAATGAGAGGACCAAGAAGAAGAAGAAGATAACGTTCATGAGTATGGCACAGCTCGTCGCGAGGATGATTTTACGCAGGAGAGATCACTCCCCCTCGCCAATGTCGTTCTCTCGTTCCATCTCTCACCACCTGTTGTTTTCACCACCGGGCGTTAGACCGAGACGATATACCAAGTCGCCATTGTGGCAGTCTATGACGGTAGATTCGGAGGAGAAAGTCAGCGAAGAGGATATGCTTGCTAAATCGGATGTGAAGAGTGATGAAGAGAATGAAGGAAGCGATGATAAGGATGATGTCGATCTAGGTGCTGGGCTCAAATTGAAAGGGTTTGGAGATAGGCTCGAGTGGCCGATGACAGTGGACACGTTTTAATTAAGAGCTGCCTGGAGCCCAAGAACGGTGTGTGTATTGCGTTCGTTTGCATGTGTCGCTGCCACTTTTGATTTTTTTCTTCATCCATACCGGATTTTATTTTCCTTTCTTTTGTTTTGATCATTGCTTACATATATATCTTCAACCTATGTATACCGACTGCGAACCACGACTCGCTTCGGTTCTGCGTCACCCGGCTCATTATCCTTCTGCCCGTTCACCTGTCATACATTCGTGAGTTTTGTACCTTCATCTTCTACGAGTTACCTGTTGTACGCGTACGCTCCTGTTTTTCAAAAATACCGCATCGATCCTCGCACTTTGCATCTACTTCATATTCTGCCTTGCTTCTTTCACTGTATCTCGACATGCAAAAAATATTCGAAAGGGGAGTGTTTCTTGTGTACTTTCGTTGTGCCTTCACGTTACAAATGACCTCCCACCGCGCGCATTCTATTTGAGCTTTGATCATTCTGATTTTGGATATGGTTACAAAGGAAACACTTGAATGAGTGGCTAGCACCCTACTTGATCCACCTGCCCGAGCTGAGCATTTATATCACCCAATCAATGCTGTCGTTCAGAGGCCGTGAAAGGTCGAGTCGGGGCGGAAGTGGCCTGGAGGCTCAAAGCTCAGAAGGAATTCAAAGGGTTGAAGATAAACTATACAACCTCACTTGAGAAGCGCGTCAAGGAGATAGCGAGGATTCAGGGAATAGTTGGAGTTCCAACGTTCAACGTTCAATGTCGGTTAGGTCGGGAGCAAATGAGCACGGTTTATCTGACAGGGCTAGTACTCTTCAGGTTCCCTCAAGTTCGGTGTGTTGGTTCGGGTTCTCGTCAGTCCTCAATGACCGTTTTTTGAAGGGGACTGTCAATGCTCAACATAACACAGAACCACCCGAAGCTGGACCAAGAGTGTGCGAGACCCTTGGAGGATTTTCGGATCGTGTCCAAACAAGGCAGCAGCCATCGCGTATCTTTGAGGAATAGAAAGCCAGTCCTTGAATGACACAAGAAACAAAATGAAGAGGAGAAGTTGGGAACTGGGGAGGGAGCAAGAAGAACACGTATATCTTGCTCAAGAAGGGATTAGAAATGTATCATGAAAGACGACAACCAAATTTGAGATGTTGCCGTGACAGATTGGGGGCAGGCTGGTCCTTGCAATTGTTTGAAATGGGGTGTGTAAGACCAGACATGAAATTGAGAAGAAATGGTAGCAGACACATGATAGATACAGTTGATAGAAACATCATTATCCATTAAGAGCAACAACGCATTCACTGCTTCGAGCCATCACTAGGCCTCACCGGCGAATCCACCTCACTTCACCAAAGAAATCTTTAATATGAGCAATGCGAGCAGCATCTTTAATGAACTGTTCATTCCGACTCATATCAATGAATTCCTGGGTACGGTTGCTAGATATGAAGACCAAAAGATGTGGTTCTTTTGTTCCAGTCACATATGCCAATTCTGGTCGAAAATAGCAATGACTATCCAGGATAGGACTCTCAGATAATCAAAGATGAACTCAGGCGATGTAAAAGCGCACCGTTCATTGCTCTTATACTTTGAATCATAATCTTTGACCCAAGGTATCATAACCTCTTTCGTCCAGAAGGCCGGCATTTCGCCTCCAGCTTCCGGATAGTAGTCGAAGATCTCGTCTCGGGGAATATACCAACCCAGATAGTAAGAAGGCGTGACGTGAAAGCAGGTTCGATCAACGACTCCGCGTCTCAATGGAGGTTCGTTGAGCGGAAGAAATTTGGTGTGTTTGCATTTCCTATGCAAGATTTACTTAGTTCAAGCAGATACTGAAAAGGAGTTGCATACCCAGCTGTCTGCAGTTGTTCCGACATAGCGCAAATAATGAGGATGAGGATGTATTAGAACCCTGCCGAACTTTGAACCTTTACCTCCACCTTTTACGAATTTCCCACGGTTTTAAACCGAAAGGACGTATCGAGCAGAGGATACGAATCAATTAGTAGGCAATAAACAACCTTAAAAACACTTATCCAATGAGCTTGGATGAGATAGAAAGCTCGCAAGAGCCCAGCAAGCCCCCAGACTTGCAACGGACCCCTCGGGGAAACCGGACTCGCCCATCTGGCTACAACCCTCTTCGACCACCCTCCCCCACTGTCACAATTCCTACCTCATCTGCGAGACGTGTCGGAGTGAACACACATGTGCCGAAGCCCTACGAGAGACAACCTACACGGAAACTATCCGACCTAACCGCAATCAGACGCATGCGAAAGAAGGCGCTGAACAAACGACGCAACAATTCCAAAGATACGCATCCCAGTGAAGCAGACGCGAGCGACATTACTCTCTTCTGAGCAGCGTTGACACTAATTTGGTGAAAATTAGTTGCTATAAAAGTTATATACACAGGTAGAGCTTAGGGTTATTAGAGACTTCTAGGGGACAGACTAGGGGGCAAATTATAGGGTACAGCTAGGGTACAGCTAGGGGACAGCTAGGGTACAGCTGGGTGTTAACATTTGATGACTCACATACCATCTATGGAACATTGTTCTCTTGTTACAAACCACTATCTCACTATCGTGTTATCAGTCTCACCGTCGTGTTATCAATCCCACCATCGTGTACTATTACTATAGGACTAACTATCTATTTCCCAGATCCAGGCCTGAGTCCCTGCCAAAAAACCGTCCAATGAGCACCAAAAGCAACAAATCTGCCCCCAAAATTCCCTGGATTGGATATAATTTCAAAAATCCCTGGATTCAGGAATTTTGCCCTGAATTTGTCCAATTAACAGACAATCCTCTTAATTGAGTGCCTCAATTAGCAGACAATCCTCTTAATTGGGCGCCCAATTAGCAGACATCCCTCTTAATTACTCTCTTCTGAGCAGCGTTGACACTAATTTGGTGAAAATTAGTTGCTATAAAAGTTATATACACAGGTAGAGCTATCTCATAGCAGTAATCCTACACTATTTCTAGCCAATATAATTATAATTTGCACCCTCTAGAGGTGAATTGGTACACGCAGGAGTGGGCGTCTAAGTAAATCTCACAGTTGACCTTGACTTTTACTTCGACTTTCACTTCGGCTTTGAGTTCGACTTTGACTTCGGCTTTCAGTTCGACTTCGACCTTAAAGTCGAGCTCGACTTTGACTTCGGCTTTCAGTTCGACTTCGACTTCGACTTCGGCTTCGACTTCGGCTTTGACTTCGGCTTTCAGTTCGACTTCGACTTCGACTTTGACTTCGGCTTTGACTTCGGCTTTCAATTCAACTTCGACTTCGACTTCGACTTCGACTTCGACTTCGGCTTTCAGTTCGGCTTCGACTTCGGCTTCGACTTCGGCTTTCAGTTCGGCTTCGACTTCGGCTTTAAAGTCGAGCTCGACTTCGACTTCGACTTCGGCTTTCAGTTCGGCTTCGACTTCGGCTTTCAGTTCGGCTTCGACTTCGGCTTTAAAGTCGAGCTCGACTTCGACTTCGACTTCGGCTTTCAGTTCGACTTCGACCTTAAAGTCGAGCTCGACTTTGACTTCGGCTTTCAGTTCGACTTCGGCTTCGACTTCGGCTTTGACTTCGGCTTTCAGTTCGACTTCGACTTCGACTTCGACTTCGACTTCGGCTTTCAGTTCGACTTCGACTTCGACTTCGACTTCGGCTTTCAGTTCGACTTCGACTTCGGCTTTCAGTTCAGCTTCGACTTCGACTTCGACTTCGGCTTTCAGTTCGGCTTCGACTTCGGCTTTAAAGTCGAGCTCGACTTCGACTTCGGCTTCGGCTTTCAGTTCGACTTCGACCTTAAAGTCGAGCTCGACTTTGACTTCGGCTTTCAGTTCGACTTCGACTTCGGCTTTAAAGTCGAGCTCGACTTTGACTTTGACTTTGACTTTGACTTTCAGTTTGACTAAGCTCAGTTCTGGCTTCAACTTTTGCTTTCTCCTTGACATTGATGCTTGCTTTCCTCCAACCAATTATCTTGTAGATAGTTAATTAGAGTAATATAGGCAACTGCTATGTACTATTTTTTTTATCTTTGTGACCCAGCAGCAATTTCCATTCTAATTGAGTACAACCAGTCCTGTGTCACTCAACAATCCACCCCGCCATACTCTATTACATTTGAAATTATTTATCCCCTTATATAAGGAATTTTGTTTACAATTAAATTTTATAAGTGGTCAAAAGCTTGAATTATGTTGGGACAAAGTCATAGAGCTCATGACGACTTTGTCCCAACATAATTCAAGCTTTTGAACACACTTAACTCTTACAAGATGACAAAAATACCTAGCTTAACTAAAATAATACCAAGAGCGTCCAGTGAGGACCATGAGTTACACAAAAACAGTTGCTTCATAAAAAGTGTACTCACCCTCATTCCTGGAGAAAGCTTTTTAAACATTAGTGGTACCCCCTCATCTTCAACACCATACACGCCCACAATTGTCCAGGGTCAAATAAGTACCAGCCTCAAACGCGGCTCTGCCGCTTCAGCATAGAACTTGGGGACCGGGAGGCAGATAGTGTCAATTGCCCACAGTCGTCACTGCAAACAATCTAGGAACACTATCTATCCCCAGGAGACCAGTATGGTGGCCATCCATAGTGGCTGCTCTCTGGGGGAGTAGGACAAAAGCGGGGTACATGGTGGTTTCAATGAAGAAGGTACAAGGGGAAAAAAAAAAAAATCAGGCCACTTTTATTCGCGGGAACGCTCCGGGCCGGCCGGGCCGGCCGGAGTCGAAGTCGAAGTCGAAGCAGAAGTCGAGGCAATCAACTTGATACTCCAATTCCCACGCTACGCTCCAATGAAGAAAAAATGAAAATGAAGAGGCGGGTCTTAGCATCATGAATCTTCAAG